TTCCTAGCCTGTCATAGCAGAATAATCACTCCAATGACCTGTGTCTATGAGACTGGTGAGGATGTGTGTGCATGTTTTTGCATGCATGTTTCTATACTACACACCACATGTGTTTAAGGTTGTGTTGGAAGGTTGAATAGTAGCCAAAACAGTCAGAAAGGAAAAAGGGCCCACCTCTCCTGCAACCACTCACACATCACCATGGGGCTGAGCCCAAGCCTGGCTACTAGACATACACCAAATTTTTGGTTAAGCCTCAAGTGTAGATACAAGTATTAGCAATAATGATACCTATTAACTGAGAGACCACTTAATTTTCACTTAAGTCACGTGATCGCATTTGAGAGTAATTTAAACAGCCCCTGACATGATGTAGATGCAAAAAAGCAATTTAAAAGACTTCACATAATTAGATGCTGTCAGTGGAAACTGGATCCATGTTATCTTTTTTTACAATGTGTGTATGCCTTCATTTTAATTGTAAGGAGCAATGCTGTACCACAACATTCAACCTCATCAAACATAAGACCTTCTACCACAAGGTTTCCCTGTGTGGTTTGCTTGGGTGGGGGTGGTAAACAAAACGGTTCTTAAATTCACAAAAAACATGAACTTCAATGGGGTTTGGATGTTTCTAAGGTACTGGGTTTTCTGAGTTTGGTTAGATAGCCCTCATGGTCACAGGTCTGCTTTTTTGCTTCACAGTGGTGTCAAAACATTGACACTGAGGATTACAGACAGGATTGGTCTAATTCCTAATTTTATGTCATCCTCTGTGAAAGGCTTTGAGTGAAAAAAATGCTGAAGGTCTGTTTTAGGAAAAAATATCTTCATTTGATATTTTCAAAATATAAATTTTAAAATTTCATTCAAGAATTGCATTTAACACTGAATTTTAAAATAATTGAAAGGGTCAGCACACCCACCCACCCACCCACCCCCAAAATAGGACAAAGCTGGGATGTCACTGCAGGTACAACATCTATATTCAACCTGAAATTAATGTTCCCCAGTTTTAAATTTCAGTAAGAAACAATGAAAGACACCTGGGTTATCCCAATCTGAAAGAATCTTTCTTCTAATTCTTTTGGTTGACTGCTGAATATTAGATGTTTGCATAACCCTGATTCTGCAGGCAAGTCCCTTGACTAATCTTTAGTTTTGCTGAACTGGAAGAGACTGGGCAGAAGAATTTAAGAAAACAGGGATGGCCAATAATTTTCCTTTTTCCCTTACCTTTTAATTTGCTTAAGAGCTTTGTTCCCAGACTAGCAGCCATAGTGGAGACTTCAGTAAGATAAGAATACACAAAAACTTTACAGTGGTGAGGCTGACTTGATAGCTTGTGATGACATGAAAAGAAATCCCTTCTAACTGGACCTGCGGTCCAGGCAATGCAGCTAAAGCTTTGACTACAGATAACCTCACTTAGCATTGTTATCTGTAATGAAAAGCAAATAGAAAAGTCTTCCACCATACATCCAAAGTTACCTACCTACAAAGAAAGTGCCTTCTCATAGAAAAAGTTTTTTAACCAATCACAGACTTCCTTTTAAATAACAATTAATTTGAAATATTTTAAAATGCTCTCACTCTATGTTCACTGTTTTTAAAACCACCTTCTGAAAATAATATGCATACAAACATACAGTTATTGTTTGACATTGCCTGCTCAATCCATGCACACTCTAATTTGTCCAAATAACGCTTACAAACAGAACTGCTTTACTGCGTTAGAAATAGTGAGATTGCATTCACGGTAGATGCAAGTTAACTGTCCAGTTGACTGCCTATTTTGACCTATGAAATTGAACTTAGTAATACCTTTAAAATTATGGCTGTTATTTTTAAAATAACTTAGCTAGAATTTAAGTAATTTGGCACTATTCATGCATGGTTGTTCTTGCTAAGAGTAAAAAATATTATCCAACAGAAGTATGTACATTAGCACAAATATAGACTTTTTTGAGGTACAGAAATGGACTCAGTGGACTTTTCCAGTTTGCACTTTTTTTGGTAAGAATACACTCAAAATCCCTTTGTAAACAAACATTTAAAACCTAAATTGTATGATCAAGAGACAGAAATCTTGTTTGTCCCATTTATGGTTCTTGTTTATTAGAACTTGTTGAGGTTTTTTCCTAAGTGTGCTTAACACTAGGTCTTGGATCCCTCCTTTTCAGAGGATCTAAATGGTGATGAGACACCAAGATGAGCTGCAGCTATCTCTTTTTCCTCCAGCAGAGAGGGTGGGTCAGTTTCTGGGTAAGTTTTCTGCCCCTCCTCTCTCAAATGCAAGCAGTCCTGCACGGGAGGCAAATCTGCCCTTTTGAACAGCTTGCAGGATCAGGGTGTATGTGTCCCCTTATCTGACTAGCAGGGTTGGGAAGATCTGCAGCTCCAGTTTTAGCTTCATGTGAAATTAATAGTCAGCTTACTGCAAATATTCCAACAAGTCTTCCAGAGAGAAATTGGTACTACTGTTTCTTCAGTTTAAGGAAGAAACTAAATAAAAATCTTACAAGCATGAAATTATGCCATACATCATACAGAAGCAGTACAAAGCATCCACATTTTTTGTTGCTCTGCCCTGCACCTTTAAGAATGGGCAGATACATCCCAGAATACTTAAATACTTCAGCATAAGAAGGGCAAAACAAACAAACAAATCCCAGACCACTGGTTAACTCTAGCACATACATTAAGCCCTTTCACAAATGATATTGTGCTGTAGTCAAGACCATTTTGGAAAAGGGCAAAAAATTACTAAACCAAGGGGGAAAAATAATGACTCTAAATGGGGCAAAATAGCAGATCTATTGGAAACATGACAAAAACAGGATGTTAAGGAAAAAAATTAAGTGGAGTCAACAAGGTTACACATAAGTAACACCTTAACATTAAAAGAAATCTATTTTCCATTTTGACCCGGAAACCTCTTCCATTAATTACTAAAATCTATTTACACAGCAACTAGATAAAATCAATCTGATTGCTCACACTATTTTTGGCTCACTTTCTATGGGCTCTGAGCATTCAACAGACTGGTTCTAGAGGAGTCGATGTTCAGATGCTCTCAGTTTCCGTGTTTTGCCACCTACAACACTATCCTAGCCATGATTTCTGGTATGCAAGCTCTTCTGTACTGGATATGCAGTATTTGGTTCCTGGCGCTGTCCCCTTGCCCCCAGCAGAGACATGTATGGAGGCCATGCTTCCTTTCAACCATATATGGAGGCAAAGCATCTCTACCGGTATCTCTACCGAGCTTGTTATGAGGGGTTCTGACAGGCCCCATGGCTGAGCATTCTTACATTAACCAGACCAAGAGCACAGTAGACCAAAAGTAGAAAAGACAGACAAATGGAGAAAAGTAGATGGAGGACAGACAGTTCTTGGAGAACTGGGAGAGATACACACCTTCTTCTACACTTATTCCCATTCCTCCTAGGAACATCAGGTAGCTTCCAAAAGAAGTGATATCAATACATTATACATTGATATCAATACAGTATTTTTCTTCCAAAGCAGATTGTTCCAGGTACAATATCCATAAAATTTGTGCCTATCGGTTCAGCAAAGACACAGACACAAATATGGAAAATTTGTATTCTGTTTTGGAGAACACCTCCTGTTAGGTAGGCAGAGTCTTGCACAGCAGAAGGTAAGATCCACCTGGATCAGCTGTGTTATGGCTGTAGGTGAGCACAGAGGGAAAATTTCTGAGAGGCAGGTGTGTGCTTGACTTTAGTTTCAGCAAACAGAAACTGCAGAAATAAGCAGAGTCTTTTTAATTTAATTAATTAAAAACTGTCTTGACCAGGTGACTTATTTTTTTCCCTTATACTTGGACACCTGAACACTGTCAATTTATTATTATGATCTCACCAAACTCATGCCACAAGCCAGAACTGCATTTTTTATACAGTGATTCTGACACATATTTCTCCCCCATATTTAACCAGGTCCAAATTAGCTTTTATGTGAAACTCCATCTACCTCAGCATATAGATATCAAAGAATCATACTAATGTTCTTACAGCATAGACTGTCCCAGTTTTGAGTGTCTTTTCAGCTATGGCTCCCTGGCAGCAGGTTGTCATTTAATTAAAACAGTCAAGTTCTCATCAGACAACAGAAGATTGCTCAGGGCTTGCAAGGCACCCCACAACAAGCCTGGTTTAATCCTGATTTTAGCCACTCCACTAATGGATTTATCTGGAGATCTGACTGTGGCTTTCAAGGGAACCTCTGCTGTGTGCTGGTATGGACCAGTGATGCTAGTGAATAGCAGTGATTCGTGTCCCTCTCTAATCTCAGCTGGCAAAGGCTGCTGGCTTCAAGTACTTACTTGAAGGGCTTTTCCCCAGTGTGTGTCCGGATGTGATTGTTGAGTGTTGTGGCACCGGCAAAGGCACGACCGCAGTAGCCACACTTGAAAGGCCTGTCGCTGGAGTGCGTAACTACATGGTTCCTCAGCTCTGAAGGTTGGGAGAAAGACTGGGAGCAGTGACCACACTGATAGGGCCTGCAATGGGAAAAAGAAACACCATGCCGTCAGTGCTTTCTATTGCCACGAACAGGAAACTATATGGGCAGGAACATCTGGTCTTCCTAGTGATTTCCAAAGAGAACTGCGGGTGCACTTCTCTAGGGCTTTCTTGGGAGACACATACCCAAAATTTCAAGACCACTTTAGCAAATGTGAAACGCTTGTGCAGGAACTGACTGAGAGTCTGTGGGCATCGTGCCACACAAAACATAATTCAGCAAGCTACTGAGCCTGCACTACACATCATATGCCTGCCTTATTTCCCCCAAACTCAACATGGTACTCCTCAGTCACAAAAAACTCCTCACACATCAGAGCTAAGAGATTGATGAAATCCTCTGTCTGCTTGTCTTACCTACAAATGCATGTCTGATTGTTATACCTATATCCTAGGTGGATTCTCTGACTGTTTGCAATTAAATTCTTCATATTGCTTTGGAGGAATCTAGGGGTTTTGCAATCACCTTTTTCAATGAGAAACATTGGAAAAAAAACCCACTATGCTACAATTACCTTTCTATTTTCTTACTGCTCTTGAAAACATTTGCTTTTAATAACACATTTCTCCCATCCAGACTGAAAATGCATTTTCTGTGATCTTGAAATGAAACACAGAACTTAGGTTTTCAACACCACAGTTTGTTAAAAACAGCATTAACAAACAAACAAAACTGACTGAGATGCTACAAATTCAGAATCATAACAAACAGACTGCAAACATAGAAAGAAAAGGATACAAGACAGCAAGGTGAGACAGGACTGCTGAAATCCAAATGCCATTGCTAACTAAAATAAAATGTAAAGAAACAATGTCTATACATTTCTGTTTGGTAAAAGTGATTTAATATCAACATCTTACAGATTTTTTTTTTCCGTTTCACATCTCATTTAAGTTAGTGACAGAGTCCTACATTCTCATCAGATTTTTGTTAAGAAAATTAAGAATTTTTCTAAAGGGATATTAATCATTTTTACCCTGCACAATGTTTTAAGGCACAGCTCTTGATGTCTGCATTTCTAGAGCCGATGGCCAACACCAACTTAATTGCTCCCTCTTTAATAAATGTGTATGTTTAAATGGCTAGAAACCAAAACTAAAGGGAAGGAGACAATGGTGACCAAGCATGTACAATTCAATTAAGTGCAAAATAAAGTGAACTATCTCATTTGTCAAGTGAACTGCTTAATTGTGGCTACTTGCATCACTGAACACAAATACTATTATTTTACAGTGCTTCAGAGCACTGAACCTTGATTGTAGAATTTTTTAGCTTGATTAATAGCTCAGTATTGGTCAATAACTCAATAGCTTACAATTTTAATTACTTACATTTGAAAATCTAACTGCTCTCCAACAAGCTTGAAAGAAATATATAAAAGCTGTGGAAAGGTTACTTAACCTAGATGGCATGGCCCTTAAAAATTACATTATTATATATGTAAAATACTATTTTAAGAAAAGAATAAGTACTGAATATCTCT